ATGTATATTCCTTATCACAAAGGGTCCTTTCCCGATACCATTTTCTAATGGCTAATTTTTTCTTATTTATTTATTTGTTTATCTATCTCTCTGTTTGTTTGATTATTTTGTGTCCAGGGAATGGAAGTGCTGGCTAAAATAGAGATTTTTTTTAAATTTTTTTTTTAAACAGGCCAACATCCTCGGAATTGCTTAAGGTCATCTCCAATGTGACTTCCTGCGGTTACAACCCACATACCGATTAATGTATTAAATACATATATGGATTAATTTTCAATGATGCTTTATTATAAGATTATCATCAAGCCTAAGAAGAAGGGTTAAAGGGTTAAAGCAAAGAATATTTAATTAATATACGGTGGCTGAAGCTTTCATAGACTGCTTAAGGGATATAGATTCAAGGTATTGTTATTAAAAGCATCTCATACCGCTTTACTAGAAATATCTCCGACTTCCAACAAGAATCTGCTTTGCCTAATGCAAAGTGTCCCAGGTCTGGTTTACCGGCTCCATCTGCCTTAGTGCCTCTTTGGATGAACTTCAAACAGTGGTTTGAATGAAGTCAGGCCTGTCTCTGTCTCTGAACAGCCTCAAGCTGGTGTCCATGCAAAAAAAAAACTGTGTGCTGTTTGTAACATCAGGTGAGAGACTGCAAAGGCATCACTTGTACACTGGGGTTGTACTTGGCCAGGTTACACCAAGAAAAATCTGGCTGAGGTTGGAAAATGTCAACCATCTGCACTGACTCGAGGAAACACCAAGTGTGATCTTGAGAAGATCAGTTTGACGCAGGGCCTACTGAAAAGTGAACTGTCCTGTCTTTAACCCTTCTTCTTTATAGGCTTAATGATTATTCTGTAATAAAGGATCAATGAAAATTAATCTATACATATTTAATACATAAATTGGTGTGTGTGGTAACTGCAGAAAATCATATTGGACACAAACTTAAGCAATTCTGAGGAGGTTGGCCTGATTAAAAACCACTATTGTAGCTAGCCCTTCAACTCCCTGGGTACAAAATAAATAAATAAATAGACAGGAAAAGTAATCCAGTCTCTGAGACTTTCATGGAAGAGTTGGCAACAGTCATTTACTCAACTGCTGGGAAATAATTGGATGGATTTGAGTCCTCAGAGATGAAGAAGTAAATGAAAGGAAATAGACTTGTCTATAAATATCAGCAGGATAGATCCTCTGTTTTCCACTGTGTGAGAAACAAGTCTAAATTAGAAGAAAGCTGCCTCAGAGAAAATTTGTCACCTGTCAAACTGAGGGAGTACGCCACTGCCAGAGACAGTTCTCTCAGCTGGAATCTTCGTGTTTGGTGTGGATGTTTAGAGGAGGCTGAAACAAATGGCTTAAATTAATTTCTGTGGGACTTAGGTCTGCAAAAAGCTGCTTCTTCCTCAAAGCTGAAATATTTCACCACACAGTGGCTCATTGTCCTGTCACAGCAGGATTGAGTATGGGCTTTAAAAAAAAACAGGATAGAATTTTGGCCACTAATAAAGAGGTCAGAATGTGCACAGATTTCTTTGTATACGCACATAAAGTAACATGCATTTATAGATGTTGGAATGACATGAATTGTCAGGGTAACTGTTTACCTGAACTCTCCAATCTTTCCCCCGTGCTGTGTGGCTGGGAGTGAGAGACTAAGCTGAGTTGACTCCTTTCTCTTATGCATGGAAGAACATCTCATGTTTCAGGCATCTGCTGCTCTCTCTCTTTTGTGTGCCACAGGAGCCAGCGAGCACCATGAGTGGTGTGAGTGAGGGGAATGTCACCCTGAGGAGCAAATTACTGGTTTTAGGACGCTGCTGGAGGCATTGCATTTGCCCTCAGCAAATTGTTATGGCTCTGATGCTGTTCTCAAAAAAGAAAATAAAGGAGAAGTGTGAAGAGAACTAAAAGCACTTTAGATTTCACTAAAGACATTGAGAGCTGCACAGGATAAAAAGCCCAGTCAGCCTTCTGCAAACACTGACTGCAACACCACCAAACTGGATTGCACCTTTACACTTTGCAGGTAGAACAAAGGCTTTGCAGTTGCTTCCTTCCAGATCTTTCTGTGGGGAAATAATCTCTGCTTGGCCCTGATCCTGACCCTGCATTCCCTCCCATGAGAAGCGCCTGTGTCGTCATGACACATCCACAGGGGAGGCCTGGCCAAGGGGAGTCACAGGAGATGCATATTTCTCCTGAAGTCTCCTAAAATCGGGATTGTGACCCAGCTTGAATATGCAGTGGATGGAAAATGCCAGGTTACATCCCTCCACATCAAGTATAATTCAGTAGCATTAGTCCCCATCCTCCAAACTGGAGCAGTCCTGTGCGCAACAGCAGAATTCTGTGTGTGTGGATTCAGCTGGCTCCTGTGAAACCCTAATCACTTCACACAGGCTACAAAGCTGCTCCTTCTATTTGGTTAATGAATCCAAGCATAAAAGCAACATGTGGCAAACTAACCATGAAAGAAAAGCCTCATTAATGTATCATTCTAGAAGGACAATTATAAAGGTGTCATGAAGGGCAAACAGGAGGAATATATTTGCAGTAATTGTTCAGGAAGATGCTTACAAATTGAGGGAGTTTCTCAAATTTTAGTGCAGATGATTCCATGACCTTTGGAGATTCTTTATTGAAGTTTTCTAGGATGTTTTTGTGTTAGTTTTTTGGAGAGTCATCTGATCAGGAAACTGAGACTATAATTTGGTGTGGATGATAAATTAAGTTCTATAAACAAAGAATAGCAGACATGAATTTGCTCTCCTTATATTTGAGTTTTGCAAGCACACAGCCAAGAGTGCTGCCTACTTAAAGTGGATCTGTCTGCATTGGAGAAACCACCTACCCACAGTAAAACCCAAATATGCCATGGTGGGGCCCTTAGAGTTAATTAGAGATTTCATCTTGAAAAGGGTTTAGCATGCCCAAATCCTATTAACTTCTAAGAGAGCTGTGATTACTATGCCCCTTTTAAGATCATGACCCAATAATTTTAATTGTTGAAACATGCTTTATTTATTTTTATGGTAAATTGTCGTTGGTCCATTCATACAAATGTTTCCATGGCAGAAAACTCAATGAAATACAGGGAATATTCTCCTTGTATTCCCTTTCTTTGGAGGAGAGGTGCTGAGATCTGGGGTTGTTTAGCCTGGAGAGGAGAAAGCTCCAGGTAGACCTTAAAGACCCTTCCAGTACTTGAGCAGGGCTTAAAAAAAAAGACAGTGACTTTTTAAGTGGGCAGATAGTGACAGGACAAGGGAAACATCTTTAAACTGAACCAGGGTAGGTTTAGATGGGATATTGGGAAGCAATTCTTCCGTGTGAGTGTGGGGAGGCCCTGGCACAGGTTGCCCAGAGAAGCTGTGGCTGTCCCATCCCTGGAAGTGCCCAAGGCCAGGTAGGAGCAACCTGGGCTAGTGGAAGGTGTCCCTGCCCATGGCAGGGCGGTGGAACTGCATGAGCTTTAAGGTTCCTTTCAACCCAAGCCATTCTATGACTCCATGATATTAATTTTCCAGCCGCACTCCAGCTGGGACAACAGCACTATGCACATCCCTCCTGCAGTGTGGGATGGGCGTGGGGCGTGCAGTTGCTTCACACAGACATCTCGGGGATGTTTGAGAGAACCTCTTTGATATAAAAGCACAACTAACCTTCATTCTCTACCTGCGTGGGAATGATGAGGGTTAGATCTTCACAGAAGCAGCGAACTAAGGGATGTCTTCGCGTTCGCACCCGCGCTGGGAGGGAACTGCCGAACGCCTCCTTCAAACCCAAAACTCGGGTGAGAAGCGTGGGGGTTGCGACTTTCGCCGGGCCCAAAGGCGAG